ATGGAGGATCACTTGAGGCCAGGAGTTCAAGGTTACAGTGAGCTATGATTGAGTTGCTGTACTCCAGCCTGGGCAACAGAGTGAGACCCTGTCTCTAAAAGAAAAAAAAAAAAGATCTACATATAATCTGTCACAGGATTAGAAAAAAGAAAAAGATAATTACATATAACTAACAGGTAAAAAGATGCTCAACCACACTAGCAAGCATAAAAATTCAAATGAAACCAGTGATGGAATGTTTAGACCATCAGTTCTGCAAAGATTAATAGTATCAGATGCTAACAGCTGCAGGAAAGAGGAAACTTGAGTGGTGGCAGGGAGGAGTGTGTAAACAGGTACATTACTCTCTAACAGCACATATCCTTTGGCCCAGGAATTACACATCCAGAAATTTCTCCTACAGAAATGTTTGCACAAGTACACAAAGATAAATGTTTAAGGCATTTCACATGAAAAACACTACATAAGTTTGTAAAAAAAGAAAACAAATTAGAAAATAATATATTTTAAAATATTTTTTTTAAAAAAGGCATTTCACTACACCAGTATTTGCAATTGGAGGGAGAAATGTAATGCACTTCCTGTCAATAGGGGAATGTTAGTAAATGATGAAACACCCCACACGGTAGACAACACCATATGGTTGCTACGGAACAGAAAAGAACAAGATGTGCCTGTGTAAAGGCAGAGAATGCCTGTGTCAGTGATGTGAAATCAAAAGAGAATGAAGCAAAACTGTGTTCCTGCGTTCAGTCTTTTTTTTTTTTTTTTTTTGAGACAGAGTCTTGCTTTGTTGCCCAGGCTAGAGTGAGTGCCGTGGCGTCAGCCTAGCTCACAGCAACCTCAAACTCCTGGGCTCAAGCGATCCTGCTGCCTCAGCCTCCCGAGTAGCTGGGACTACAGGCATGTGCCACCATGCCCGGCTAATTTTTCCTATATATTAGTTGGCCACTTAATTTCTTTCTATTTATAGTAGAGAAGCGGTCTTGCTCTTGCTCAGGCTGGTTTTGAACTCCTGACCTCGAGCAATCCGCACGCCTCGGCCTCTCAGAGTGCTAGGATTCCAGGCGTGAGCCACCGCGCCTCGTCCCTGTGTTCAGTCTTTCATTTGGTTGTTCCTTCTTCATTATGTTTTATGTACACAGGGCCAGGAAGGCCAGAATGGAGAGGAGGGGAGGAAAATGGGAAACAGTAATGGCCTTATTTCAGCAGATAGGAAGGAAGGACAGGAGCTGTAGGTGCCTGTTTTGGACAGGGTCTTCATGGTGAAGAAACAGCATGTGCAAAGGCCTGAAACTGACAGGATCCCCCACTCAGGAGCCCTCCCTCAGCCCTCCCCAGCACACTCACCCGGACCTCTTAAGTTGCTGTCCTCCCTGGCTGCTGCCTATCCACAACCCACAGCTTCTCCTGAGACAGAAAACCCTGTTCCTGTGGGTGCCCTCACCTGGCTCTTAAAGGGGCCTCACTCCCAGACTCCAAGCAGTTGGAACCTCATTCCCAGCCAGGAAGCCCCAGGAACCCAGAGTGGTAGATGGTCAGAGGGACTTCACTCAGCCAGGGAATGCACACATAGCTCTCCAGCAACATGTCCCTTTGCAGGTGCCTCTGATGGTTCACAGCCACCTCCCCAAATGTCACAGACTCCTGAAACACATCCCACTGGCCCAGGGTGTCTTCCAGGCTGGGGACTGGCCTCACCTACACAGCGAGCTGACCTGGGCCCAGGGTCCAAGTTTAGGAAATATGAGAAGGCTGACCCCAAGACGCTGGAGGGCTCCCAAATATCCCTGTGCTCCCTGAGAGGTATGAGTCCATGGTGCCTCAGCCACAATTCCAAAATCTCGAAGCCTTTGAAAACCAAGAGTGCTTTGCAGTTGTTTTGGTGGCAACACTGGCAGTGAAGCCACACGAGGCTGCCCAGTCCTTCTTCCAGCCTTGGAGAAGACCAATGCCTTTCTCCACCCAAGGGGAGCCACCAGCAAACCCAAACTGCAGGACAACCCCCAGGAAAAAGAGCATGGTTTCCTCAGCTAACAAGTTGCAAGGAGGAAGAAAAAGAACAGAGGGGAACTGGCAGATGAAGAGACTTGATCTATACTAACCACTCTCATGTGGCCCTTATTTAGAGAGGGTCCATGCACAGGTGATAAAACTGAACAAAGCAAGACACTTGCTGGTGTTTTTGAGAGACAACTAGAATATTAACTGAATATTGAGCATGTTAAGGACTTACTGCATTTTTTGTTTGTTTGTTTGTTTGTTTGTTTGTTTGTTTGAGACAGAGTCTCACTCTGTTGCCCTGGCTGGAATGCAGTGGTGTCATCAAAGCTCACTGCAACCTCAAACTCCTGGGCTCAGGCAGTCCTATATGTCTTCCAAGTAGCTGTGACTACTGGCACGTACCACCATGCCTGGCTAATTTTTCTATGTTTAGTAGAGACGGGGTCTCACTCTTGCTTAGGCTGGTCTTGAACTCCTGAGCTCAAGTGATCTCTTGCCTCAGCTTCCCAGAGTGCTAGGATAACAGGCATGAGCCACTTTTGCTGTTTTGTTTTGTTTAATAGAGTCCTTTCTTTCAGAGATACATGCTGCATATGGGGCATAGGGGGTGGCCAAGTGAGAGGCTCTCCCCTCCTCCCCTGCCCACCCCTGGACTGGAGGGGCTTTCTCTGGGCACAGAGTGTCACCTCCAGCCCTTCTTCCCATCGGGACAGCTTTATAATGTGTCTGCGTAGGAGGATGTTAAAGAACATTTGCTTCCTGTTCTAGAGGCCCAGAAGAGGGTGCAGGGTTCTTTGGAGTCCTTTCTGCCTGGAAATGGGACTCTGAGGTGAGGTCATTGCCTGGGGGACCCAATTGTAGCACAAGCCTCCAGCATTCCTTGATTTGGCTACTAGAGAAAAGCAAATTCTGTTTGTGGTTATCACGATGGGGCCCCAAACAACACGTCACCACAGGGAGAAGAGGTGTCCTCTGTACTTTAGCTCTGGTGAGGCATGGGTAAGTGTAGGACTGACTATCCTAAAGGCCCAGGGCACCTTCCAGGGCATTGGGATGTTCTGGGTTCCCCTGGCACCTGCAGTACCCCCACCTGATGCTCACCTCATCCCTTCCTGCAGCAGCCCAGTCCTCTGCCTGGCTGGCTCCCTCCTTCCCAATGCACTGGCAGGCACTGTTCCTCCCTCAGCTGTCCTCCCCATTGCACGGAGGCTTGTGCCTGGCAGTGGGTTAAGTAAAACCTGACTCCACTAAGACATTTTTCAAGCCAGACACCAGGAAGCTGTGTGGACTGAAGAGCTTTGTGTGTCGTGCTTCAGTCCTGCTCTCCAAGGTCGTGCTAGCATTTGGAGCCTTGATCCTGGAGAGGCTGCCCCTTCTAGGGCTAGTTAATTCCTAGAGATAGCAAACAACTCCCCTTCCAGTGCACCTTTGAGACACAAACCAACCAAACCAGAGCCCAGCTATCTCCTTTATCAAATTCTCACTCACCAAGCCAGTACTTTCTCTGCCTTAAATCACCTAGGGCCAGGTGCCAGTCAACAAAGGACCACCCCTGTAGCTCAGAGCTCACCCAAATTATGCAAACCATCCAATACCAAACTTACTCAGGACACCCACCTCACCTTACCCATTCCTTCCAGAGAAACTCCCAAGAAAGGCTCTGGGTCACACTCTGCCCTCTCCTCCTTTGCTCCTCTTGACTCTCTAGTCCTTCCATGTGGCCTGGCAGGCCCTGCCCTGTTCCCTCATGACAATCGCCTTGAGACTTGCGTCTGCAGATGGTGACAGCCCTGTGCAGGGGCTCTGTCTGTCTGCTCCAGCTTCTTGGCAGCAACATCACTTGGGGCTGTCTACTAGGATCTGTCGATTAGAATGCTCCAGGAAATGCAGCATCTCCTTGAAAGTGATGTTTAGTTGATATTTTTTCCTGGAAACATTTACAGCTTGGAACTGTTCTCTCTGTCCAAATCTGAGGCTGAAGTCACCCCAAAAGCAGCAGCAGGGGAGTTCCCACAAGGGGCTGGCCCAAATAGTCCCAAGATGTAAGTTCAAAGAGGCATCAGATGCCAGTGCAATCAATCCAAAGTATTTATTTGGGGAACTTACATATGGGCTTCAGCTTTCTCAAGACAAACAGTAAGAGATGTTCTACCTAGGCACATCTGCAACAAGGGGGTAGGGCTATGGTGTTTACATAAGGGTTTAAAGGATTTGGCTCAGGGTGGGGGCCAGTTTCTAAGTGTTTAGCATCAGGGTTAATCTCTCAGTCTTTTCAAGCAACCCAAACGACTTTATCAGTGCCTGAGGATGTTGAACACCCTGGATTGGGTTCAAGCCTGCAGGGGAAAATATATAGCTGGATGGGTCACAAAGTGGTTAAGGCACTCTGTATTTCTCATTCAGGACAGAAAGAGACTGGAAGACCCTATGAAACCCAATCCCAGATGGGGACTAGCTGGGAAGCAATCCAGACTGGCCCAGAGAAGGGGCACTGTGACCGAGCGAGGGACTGAGCAGGTGCCTCGCTGTGAATGGTCTGTTCACTCAGTGAGCCCTAGGCTCAGTGAGGCAGGGGATGCATTGGATGAGGGCAGACGCCTAGACAGGACCCTCAGGGTCTCTGCACCCTGGTCACTGGGCAGGTGCCCACCAGGTTGATGCTATGGGCCAGGCTCTCTGTAGACCCAGGTGTCAGCTGCCCTGCTCCCTGTGTTATCCTGGGTTTGCCATCCTCACCTGGAGTGGGTCAGGATGAGGCACACTGTTGCCAGGCTCCTGCCAGCTCTGGAGCGTGCAGTGTGAGGCTCCTCTACCAGGAAGGTGGGTGGCACCAGCGTGCCCAGCATTCCTGAGCTTTTTCCTGGACGTGCCTGGTTGAGTATTAGGATGTTTGGGGGCCTAGAGGGTGGCTGGGGAATCGAGACCTCCTATATTTGTTTTCCACCTAGGACTCCGTGCTGGGGACAGGGGGAGCTGACTGAGCCCAATCACTTCGCTATGGCTCTGTCAGGGCCTTCAGGGTTTGGTCAGGTGTGAGTCCAGCTTTATGCCCTTCCTGCTGCCCCGCTGTCCACGGGCTCGTCGCTGCAATGACGGTAGCACAGGGAGGTCTAGGCAGCTATCGACGCTGGCAGCGCCCTCACCGACGCTGCAGGGAGCTGGGGCCGCCCCAGGGAGCTGTAGTGGCCAAGGGGGAGGCACGTTCTGCCAGAGCAAGAGAGGACCCGCCTCTCCCCAGCCTCGGGCTGTTGCCCCATCCTAGGAAGCAGGATAGGGTTGGGGGTAAGGGGAGTAGCCTGGGGGGGGGCCCACAGGCAGGGCAGAGCGTGGATCCGGGTGCGCCTTGGAGAACATCCAGCACAGATGGCCCAGGGGTTCAAGCGTGCAGCCAGGAGATGCTGGGCCTGACCTGGGGCGCAGTTGAGAGAGCAGGGGCGCTCCTCTCCTCCTAGGGTTCGCGTCCCGCCTGGTTTTTCCGCAGGTTCCGGGCGCGTCCCAGTCCCCACCGCTGCTGTGCACTGAAGTCCAACCTCCTGCTGCCCCCAACTCGAGCGGTCCCCCGACGGCCTCCAGCTGGCCATTGTCCACACCCTCGCCCGGGCAGGGCCTGGTTCAGGCGTCGCCGCGGGGCCTGGTACGTGCCCCACAGGTACTTTCTCCTGTGGAAACGCTGATGGGCTGTGTCGGGCTGATCTGGGGGCAGGGCTAGTGTTGGTATCCAGCCTCAGAGACTGGTGACCGAACACCCAGCATCGCCGCCTAGCACGGGCCTGCAGGACCAGCACCTGGTGCTCGGCGCGACACGGAGGCCCGCCCCCAGATCCGGGCCCCGCCTCCCTCGACCTCAGTCCTCCAGCTCCGGCTCCTGGCCCTGCTGCTTCTTCAGAGTCGGGAGGCGGGGCCGGGAACACCACCGAGGCGGCCGGGCCTCCGAGCCGTCCAGAACGGCCGGAAGTCAGCGTGGAGGGGCTGGCGCGGGCGTCGGAAACCCGTTTCCGGCGGCATCGCGCGTTTACTAGTCTCCGGCTGTCTTCAGGGAGGGTGAGTCGGCGCGGCGGGCGCGGACTCTGGTGGTTTTGTGGCGGAGTGGCCCCCGGCAGGGCTCTCTGTACCCCCGCATTTGGCAGTGTAGTCTCCAGGCCTGTCCTGGGGGGGGGCGCGAATGGCGCGGGCGGCTTGGTGAAGCAGTGAGCATCTGGCGGGGGAGGTGGTCGAGCAGCGGCCACCCTGGCCAGCGTCAGCGTGAGGCGGGAGTCGTTTGGCCGAGTCCCGCAACTCCCTGCAGGCTCGGTAGTGGGGCAGCCTTGCCGCCCGCGAGTTCCGATGTCAGAGGCCTGAGTAAGGCGAGCTCTAGTTGTGGCCTTCACACCAGGCCCAGGCCTGCTCCAGGGGGCTCCCGTATCTCCTTGCATAATCATCTCCTTCTAGGGCCCTCCTTTTTTCCCTTACAGCCCCTGAGAGGCCTAGAATTAGACACAGTGGTAAAAAGGGCAGTGCCTTGGGTGGGGTAGGTTGGTTGTCATCTGAACTCTGGATGCCACTCAGGGCCTACCCTCTACAGGGAACCCAGCAATCGGCACTGACTGTATCCTGTCCTGGCACCTGGTGGGGGACCCTTCTCCAGTGGTCACTGCTGCTTGAGTCAGCCCCTTCCAGTGGCCTGGGGCTTCCACTCACAAGCCACTTTCTGGGACAGATGCTTCCCTAGGAAGCCCACTTCTTCCCACTCTGGCCTTCTAGAGAGGATGCATGGGGTCATTGGTTCAATTGAGGTACATCAGTTTACATCCTTGGGTTGGTGCCATCCTGGTGACAGAGGTGAGCTGTGGCTGGAGACTGGAATTTATATACTTGGGATCAGGGGTTCTGCATCCACTCCTGTCTTCCCTACAGTCCGTCATTCTGGTTCCTGTCTGCTCCAACATCAGTCACTCCCTGCCTTCCCTTGCTACCTTTGGTCCACCTGCACTGGTTCATTCAACCCCATTCCTTTCTGCCTTGGACACTTTTGGCATTTTGTTCCAGCTGCCTAGAGTGTTCTCCCCACCTCCATCACCTTGATCTAGGTCCCTGGGGAAGCGACCCATTAGACTAAGTCAGTTTTCTAGTTTAAGTGCTTTCTTAGTGTTCTTTAGCACTATCATGGTTGTAATTTTGTGCTTATTTGTGTGGTTATTTAATTCTTTTCTCTACTAGATTGCTCCATGAAGGGAGGGTCCTTACTGCTACATCTTAGTACTTAATGCCTGGCATGTGGAAGCCACTCCTTAAGTGTTTACAGAGTGATTCACACGTGCCATACAAGCATGCTGAAAAAAGAATGAGGCTTCAGGACGCCTCATTCGCTCAAGTGTCGTGGCTGCTTCAGCCCATCCCCGTGTCTCTACTAGAGAATGTCTGGGGTTGGAGGTAAAGTGACAGGGAACACAATGTTGCCCCCCGTTAGCCTGGAAGTGAGGGGGCTAGACCCTGACCGCTGACCTTTTCATAATTGCCAACAGGTATCTCAGCCAGGACGTGTGGATGCCCACTCACCAAGCCTCATGGTAGGAAGTCACTGCCTCCTTTCCCTCAATTGTCCCATGAAGCCTCCATCTCCTACTCTGTGCATCTACCCTGCCCACTGGTCCTGGGCCCAGACCCTGCCTTGGCTCTTGCCATGGCCCTCAACAAGCTCAGGCAGGGCCCTTTGCTCCCATCCTGAAGGTAGTAAGCAAACCCTTGCCCAAACCAGGGCCTGACTGAGGCTCTTGACGGGGGGAGGGTTTTACAGGTATCATAGACTGCGGGTCCCTCTTCCTCCCCCAAACTGCCCCTCCCCAGGATTTTGGAGCCAGAGGAGCCCTGGTGACTGTCTCACCCAACCCCATGGTACACCTGCCAGAGACATGCCATGGGGTGGCGACAGAATGGGGCTGGCACCCAGGGATCCCTGGGGTGCTGGTGTGTGTCCTTTCAGGAGGTGGTGACGTTTGGCGATGTGGCTGTGCACTTCTCTCGGGAGGAGTGGCAGTGTCTGGACCCTGGCCAGAGGGCCCTCTACAGGGAGGTGATGCTGGAGAACCACAGCAGTGTGGCTGGACTAGGTGAGGCTGCACCTTGATACCTCCCTCCCCTGCATCATCAGTCAGTACCCACCCAGCCAGTCCTCTGGCAGAGGCTGGGGATATGGGGGTCAGGCCCCTGTGGGACAAATGGGCCTTGGACCTGGGAGTGTGCCAGGCTCATTCCTGGCTTTGCGTATGTCATGTGGTTCAGTCCCCATGGGGTAGGTGGAATTCTGGGAGCTAATAAAGCCTCTTTTCCTAAGCTAGTAAATTAACTTATGAGAAATAGAATTCAAATTTGAAGTAGCTTAAAGAGAAATTATTGGCTTGGGGGAGCCAAGAAAATGGTTGTACAACCAGAGCAAGGGGTGGCAGCAGTGCCCTCAGGGCTGCTGTGTGGATGCTGTCAGGGTGTCCCCTCACCCCTCCTATCCTGCTATCAGTTTTCCTCTCCCATCCTTATCACCACCACAGGCAGCTACTCTCCAGCACTCTTCATGTCTGACTTTGTGTTCTCACACGATGTGTCCTATTGTTGGATTGGGACTTTGCAAAGGGTGTGTATGTCTAACATGCTCCTCGCTGTGCTCCTCGCTTGTTACCAAACCCTCTGCTGGTTGGCCCCATGCTGTCTCCAGCCCCACATGAGCATGGAACAATGCACGTATCTCCAGCACATGAGCATCCTGGACCCTTGAGAGTGCCTGGGGCAGGAATAGGGTAAGTGAGGGCGTAGTTGGCTGGACAGGTGCTTATTGGGGTGCTGAACCTGGCCCGCATCCTTCTGTCCTGGCTAGACTGGCAGAGTACAGCTCTCTGATATTTTGCCAAATAAGTGTACAGTGAGAATTGTCATTCTCAGATTTCTGCTGAGCTTGAGCATCTTTTCACACTCTTGTTCCTCTGCTAGGTTCTTCAGTAAAGTGTCTGCACAGAGGCTTTGCCCAATTTCTGCTGGAGTTGCTGTGCCTTACTGATTTGGAGGTGTTTGTTATTTCTTGCATTAGATTTCATCAAATCTAAGGTGCTGTACATTGTAAAACACATCGTTATTTTATGTACTTGGCTTTATTTTAAGAAAGGTAGAATGCTGCTAATTATACAACACATTTTTTTTCTTATCACCTCAATTTATTTTATAAAGAGCTCTTAGAATTGTTTAAACCTGGCTTACCAAATGTATCACTGAAATAGGAAAAGATGCATAGAATGAATTGGCTAGGGTACTCTTAATGTTTTTCATGACTTCTAGTGAATCACTCTCCAGCTTTTTTTTTTTTTTTTTGAGACAGAGTCTCACTTTGTTGCCCAGGCTAGAGTGAGTCCCGTGGCATCAGACTAGCTCACAGCAACCTCAAACTCCTGGGCTCAAGCAATCCTTCTGCCTCAGCCTCCCAAGTAGCTAGGACTACAGGCATGCGCCACCATGCCCGGCTAATTTTTTCTATATATATTAGCTGGCCAATTAATTTCTTTCTATTTATAGTAGAGATGGGGTCTTGCTCTTGCTCAGGCTGGTTTCGAACTCCTGACCTCGAGCAATCTGCCTGCCTCGGCCTCCCAGAGTGCTAGGATTACAGGCATGAGCCACTGCGCCCAGCCTCTCTGGCTTGATATCTATGTCTGTGCTTCCCACATGATGGTAACTTGTGAGCTTGGCCATCAAGGAGTGATGCATCCTATTGTAAATGTTGTCAGGGTTTTCTCCTATCCAGTGAGGCTGATGGCTGGGCTTTGTTACCTGGCATATGGCAGCCATTCTTTCTATGTGGCTCTCAGTGACAAACCAGACAGCTTCATTGGCTATGCATAAAGAGCATTAAAGACAGCATAAAGAGCAGTTAAACTAAGCATGTATTTTAAGATGGTGCTGAGGACTCAACTGTAGCAGTGAGGATCTGAACAGCTGTGATCAAGTTCACTTGTGCACAGGCAGTGATGGTATGTCACAGCTGTGACCTGGTTGATGACATCAATTCCAAGATGTGTCTCATTTAGAGGTGTGAAAGTGTCTTATAAAAAGTCTTTTTTTTTTTACTTTTCTATTTTTTTTCTTTTTTTCCTGGTGAAACCTTCAGTCCAATATAAAAAGTCTTATCTCGGTATACATCAAATATGATAATGCCAGGTAGGTTTTGTACATTGTAAATACCTTTTTCCCTTCTCCTTCTCTTGTGTTTGTTAACTTTGTTAGGTCATATTTTAATGTAATTAAATTCTTCAGTTTTTTCTCTGTGGACTATGCCTCTGAAGTTTTATTTAAAAGTTTTCCCTGGCCAGGAACGGTGGCTCATACCTGTAATTCCAGCACTTTGGGAGGCCAAGGCAAGAGTACCACTTGAGGCCAGGAGCTTGCGATCAGCCTGGGAAACATAGCAAGACACTGTCTCTACAAAAAAAAGTAGCTGTGTGTAGTGGTATGTACCTATAGTTCAGTCTGCTTGGGAGGCTGAGGCAGAAGGATTGCTTTGCTTGAGCCCAGGAGTTTGAGGTTTGTTTTGGCAAAATCCCCGAATAATATAGAAAAACCACCTCCCAAACTGAAAGGGAATCAAGAAACCAAGGAATGGTCTGACAAGTCCAGCTTGATGAGTTAGATGAGTTTATTAGATGTTACTTACCAGGGTGCTTGCTCCTTGGCAGCACAGGGATTTCTTCTACAGGAGCTTCTTGCATGCATAATCTGTACCTGCCCACCCTGTGGTGTTGCCTTAAGTCTCTTCCTGGTAAGTGACACAGAGTTTTATATTATATCTTTGCTTGTTCACAGTGAGACAAATAATGCATGCCCAGTACCCTCATCATGCCCTGTCATACAATTCATGGTACATTAATGGTATTACAATTCTCCAGTAGGTGGGGATTTTACCATTATAATAGAATAGCTGAAGGACACCTTATGTAGGACAGCCAAAGCAGCTCTAAAGCAGCCAGGGCCCAGTCTCAGCCAGCAGCTTCAAGGCAGGAGAGTGCTGAGGCACCTTCCCCTCCTTCTTCCCCAGTGGTTATCTTGGTACTTGCTTAATCTGTTTTGTAGCAATTTTGTTGCTGAGCATTCCAAGCTAGCACAGCACAATGTTTCTGTTACTGTCTCTTTGAAAAAAAAAAAGTTCAGCTCTACTCCAAGGTTGTTGAGATGACCTATATTTTCTCCTGTGGGTTTTATAGTTCATCTTTTCCATTTATGCCACAGCTTCACATTTGTGTTGGAATATAAATAAAAATCCTGTTTTATTTTTGTTTGAATATTAAGCTATTTCCCTGACATCATCTACAAAACAGTCCTTTTCCTGTTGGTATGTGGAACCACCTTTTTTGTATATGAAATGGTATATTTCTAAGCCCTGTTCTCTTCCCTAAATCTCTCTTGTGGGCTAGCTCCCTGCTTTTTGTTTATTTGACTTTGTTTTGGGTTTTTTTTGTTTGTTTGGTTGGTTGGTTTTGCTTTAATTTTATAGTATGTCTTATTACCTGATAGTATAACTCACCCTTTTTATTCTTTTTATTTTGATTTTATTTATTTTTTGAGATAGAGTCTTGCTCTGTCACCCAGGCTGGAGTGCAGTGGCATCATCGCAGCTCACTGTAGCCGCCAACCTCTAGGCTCATGTGATCCTTCTACATTAGCCTCCTGAGTAGTTGGGACTGCAAGGCTGTACACATTGTGCCTGGCTAATTTTTTCTATTTTTAGTAGAGATGGGGTCTCACTTTGCTCAGGCTGATCTCAAACTCCTGACCTCAAGTGATCTTCCTGCCTTGGCCTCCCAGAGTGCTAGGATTATAGATGTGAGCCACTGTGCCTGGCCCCTTGTCATTCCTTTTAAAGGTTCATATACCTACTTTTTGGTAATAGAATGTGTCTTTCATATAAATTTTAGAATAAGTTCAGTTCTTCAAAAGGGCTACTAGAATTTTATCTGGGAGTACTTTGGATTTGTAGCTACTCTGTTTTTAGCTGATTGCTGCTGTACAGAAATGCTGTTGGTTTTGGAGGCTGATCTTGTATTTGGCAACTCTGTGCCACTTCCTTGCTAGTTCAGTGTTGGTCAGTGCTAGTTCAGTGATTCTGTTGTGTTTTTCCTAAAGCAGGGTGTGTGCAGATGAGTTGAGCATTTTCTCTCTCAGCCCTGCCTCTTCACATCTCTCTACTTTAGCGGGGACAGCCCAGTGTTAAACAGGACCCCTGTGGGCATGCATGTTGTGTTCCTGATCTTAAAGGGAATGCGTCTACATAAGCACAGGAAAAGTTGGCTAAGGAGTTTTGTTTTTAATCATAAATAAGTACTGAATTTTAAATTCAAATGCATTGATTGAGATACTCATGATTTTTTTTATTAGTGAAGGAAATTACATTGATATATTTTCTTGTGTTCCTGGAATAAACCCTCTTTAAATCCTGATTTTACATATAAATTTTGATGCCCTTTTGGATTCAGCTAGCCAATATTGTATTTTGAATTTTTGTATTCCTGTTCATAAGCAAAATGGACTTATATATTTCTTTCTTTCTTTTTTTTTTTTTTTTTGAGACAGAGTCTTGCTCTGTTGCCCAGGCTAGAGTACCGTGCCATCAGCCTAGCTCACGGCAACCTCAGATTCCTGGGTTCAAGCGATCCTCCTGCCTCAGCCTCCCAAGTAGCTGGGACTACAGGCATGCGCCACCATGCCCAGCTAATTTTATATATATATATATATATTTTTTTTTTTTAGTTGTCCAGCTAATTTCTTTCTATTTTTAGTAGAGACGAGATCTGATTCTTGCTCAGGCTGGTCTTGAACTCCTGAACTCAAACAATTTGCCTGCCTCGGCCTTCCAGAGTGCTAGGATTACAGGCATGAGCCACCGCACCCTAGCCTATGTATTTCTTTTTGTGTATTGTCCTTACATCATTTTGGCATTTTGGCAAATGGCATTTGGTATGTAAGTAGAATTCATCTGTAAAACCTGGGCCTTGGGCTTTTGGGGAAGGAAGGTCTTGGACTAGCATTTACGTGTCTTTAATGGTCTACTCAAGCTTTTGAATTTTCACTTGTACTAATTTTGTCGTTTTTAGTTTTTCTACAAATTGATCCATTCATTTAGGTTTCCAAATTTTTTTGTGTGTTTAGTTTTTCTTTCCTTTCATTTTTTAATGGTTTGTAGTTGTTTCCCTTATTCTTTATATTTTGGCAGCATCTTCTCACTAGGTTGACCTTGATCAGTTTTGCCATGAGACTGTCATTAATCTTTTCAAAGAACTGGCTTTTTGTTTTGGGGATCTTTTTTTGAAGGTGGGTAGGAGTGGAGGATGTTGTTGTTATGTGTCTTTGTTCTCTATTTCATTGAATCCTGCCTAACCTTCCTTATTTGCTCCTTTTCATTTATTTGGGTTTATTGTATATTGAGCCTAATATTTACCTCATTTGTGTTTTACAATTCTAGTTTCTAGTAGACATATTTAAAAATAGAAAATTTTGCCAGACATAGTGAGACCCTGGCTCTAAATAAATACAACAGTAATTCATTATTTAGTTTCTAAGTAGCTAATAGTTTCTAAGCTATGCTTTTGTGGTTAATTTCATTATGATAGATTTGGCTGGTACATGTTTTGCAGTATTGTTCTTTGGTACATCCATGACTCCCTTCATGGCCTGACCTAAGGATGTTTCTCTGTTCTACTGTGCTTGGAGAGAACACGTGTTTCCTGTTGAGTGTAGAGTCCTGCCTACCTCTGATGACTTGAGCTTATTGGCTGTAGACCTTTAGAATTTCTTTGGCTGCTTTTTTCCTCCTTGTAGGGGGAAGTCTCCAGCTGGAGGAGTTGGTTGGCCCTTAGATTCCTATACTGACCAGCATTGGAGGGGGTGTGGGGCGGTTCCACAGCATGGGGACGGGGACTGGTGGCCCTGTGAAGGTAGGGTGCCAAGTGGGCACCCGACAGTCTCCACCACTTCCTAGTCTACCAGGAGGAAGCAGGCCCTGAGGGGGTCCTTTGCACAGGGACTCAAGGCTGGGAGGCCACAAGGTTAGGATTGGACCTTGGAGCTTTCTGATTTAAAATTCTCTTCATTTGTTTATTTTTTGTTGTTCTTAACCTTGTGTCTTAACTACCCCTACCTCTCAGAGCATCCCTGCTTTCTGAACTGACACACAGCCCAGCTCTGCTGAGTGAAGCACTGGCTTGTGTTTGGGCTTCTTTTTCCCTCTCTCCTGAGTTCTGGGGGTAGAGCTAGCCTGTTCTTTGTAGACTCTTTGGCAGAGTCCCCTGGAGATCATGGGAGTCCAAGTATCTCTTGCTGTCCACCCTCAGGAGCTGGACAGAACTGGACAGAAAGGGCTATGTGCCCACATCCTTACTCACCCCACCCCAACTCCCACAGAGGCTCTGCCTGTCCCCTGGCAGCCCCTTGCCCTTTTATGCCTGGAAACCAGAGGCAGCTGAGCCCTGTGCCATGCTCCCCACCACACCAACACCATCTCCTTCTCTGCCACACACACAGCAGGATTCCTGGTCTTCAAGCCTGAGCTGATCTCCCGGCTGGAGCAGGGACAGGAGCCATGGGTCCTCGACCTGCAGGGAATGGAGGGGACAGAGGCACCAAGGACCTCTCAGACAGGTGAGGCTCAGGCCTTGTTGCAGAAAAGCCCTTCAAGGAAAAACCTCAGGTGGGTGGAGGTGGGTCCCAATGGCCATGCTGGGCTACTTGAGAGCACCACTGGGTAACTGGGGGCCAGCCTGTAGGAGGAAGCATGTAGACCAATTGTGGGGCTGCCTTGGGAGAAACCAAACCATAGAAAAGCCATAGAATATCCCATTTCAGAAAAAAGGGAGTTTTTGAAATCATACCACATTTTGTTCAATTTCTATTTTACTAATACTATTGTTAAGCAAGAGTACAAACCTATGGATCCAAGTGAAGCACTAAACTTGGCTCTTGACAGTCTCTACTCAGGTAAACATGTTCCCTGATCAGCTCCCTCCAGAACTTCTCAGAGCCCAGGTGGCCCCAGCCTCTCAGATCAGGCTTCAGGGTGCATAGGTCTCCTGGGACTGCCACAGCAACACACCACACACTGGGAGGCTTAAAACAATAGCAATTTATTGTCCTATAGCTGTGGAGGCCAGAAGTCTGAAATCAAAGTGTCCAGAGGGCCATGTTCCCTGAGAAAGCTCTAGGGAAAGATACTTTCTTGCTTCTTAAAGCATCTAGTGGTTTTCTGGCAACCCTTGGCCTCCTTGGCTTATGGTTGCATCCCTCTAATTCTGCCTCCATCTTCATATGGCCATCTTCTCCTTGTGTCTCTATTTTTACATGGCCATCTCCTTATAAGGACACCAGTCATGTTGGAATAGGGGCCACTGTATTGACCTCAGTATAACTAATTACATCTGCAATGACCTTGTTTTTTAAATATGGTCACCAACCTAAGTGTGAGCAAGATTCCCCATCTCTACTAAAAATAGAAAAAAATCAGCTGGATGTGGTGGTGCACACCTGTAGTCCCAGCTACTCTGGAGGCTGAGGCAGGGATATGCCCTGAGCCTAGGAGCTGGAGGTTGCAGTGCGCTGTGATGACACCACTGCATCCAGCTGGGGCAACAGAGTGAGATTCTGTCTCAAAAACAAACAAAAAACCCCCAGCCCCTCGTTAAAATATTTCCAAGGTGGAGGGGAAATTTTTAAAGAGGTTACCATGGTAAAAAAGCCAGCTACAGTTGGCAGAATTAGGTAGTTCAGTGGGTTTATATGTAACAAGTGGTCCTTATTGTGATGAAGGAACAACAAAAGTATCACCTGCACTGAGGTGAGAGCCACTGTTGATGTACCCTAGCACTTGCTTGCAAACCTGAGTGTAGAGCAAGAATACAGCCTTTGAAATTAGAATAGTCAGTAGCACAAAACCAGAATATGTTAAGTGGAAATGCCCAGACATGTTATTCACTCCAGCTGGTGCAGTGAGCATCCAATATCCAAGGATACTGGCCCAGAATGTGGGGGAGAGGGCAGGGTCTTAGCTGTGCCCTCCCCACACCCTTGCCCACCAGCATAGCCCCTGGTGGGTGATTCCTGGCACCCTTCAGAGTCCTGTCAGCCGAGCCCGTGCTTAGCCTCTGCTCTTTGGCAAGACACTTCCAGAGTGAGGTTTCATTTTTTTAATAAGTGCTTGCACTTTCTCAGCAGTTATCCAAAGCTTGCTGGAAGGGGAGAGAACCTTTGGTTTCAGCTGCAGGTCTCTGGGGGGCTGCCATGGGGGAAGCTGTCAGTGGTAAGTAGGGACAGAAAGAAATGGGCCCCTGTGGTAGAGGAAAGTTCGGGAAGAGGGCTTTGCAAGCCCTGTCAAGGGAGCTGTTGGCAAGGTTGTGCTATGTGTAGGGGAGAGAGAAGTGGGCCAGGATCAGGCATGTAGGTGTCCTGTGTCTTCACAGCATTCAATGTATGCTCCTGCCACACTGCAGGTTGAAAGGGCTGAGTTGGGCGCACAGACCTGAGTCTGTTCCTGATTCTCTAGCTGTGTGGCCTTGCACAAACTGCTTGACCTCTGAGCCAGTCTCCTTGTCTGAGGTATGAGGGTTCCACTGACCTCATTGGGTTGTTGAAGATTAATTTAAAAATGAGCAGGAACTATTCCTTTTACACAGAAGAGGTTCATTCAGTGGTAGCCCTTGGCTCACTGCAGGACTGACTGGAAGACCTTCGCAAATCCCTGGAAATTTGTGAATTGCCACCAATGATTAGGAGTGGGCAGAAAACAAGAGGGTGAAGTCTTGTAATTGGGCTGTGTATTCACTGTGGGGTAGACTCAGGCTAGTTATGGCTATGGCCATACAACTGTGGTGTGGTCATGGACATCAGGGAGACATCTGACCTCATCAGGGTGATGGCACAGTGAGAAAGAAGCCTACGTGTATCTGGAGTCCAGAAGGAAAGCAGATGTCAGGAAGGCCTCCTGGGGGGAAGGTGTGGATAAGTGCACCCCTCCAGAAACTTGCAACCCCAGGAAAGGAGAATTCAGTGTGGGCTAGTGGGGCTGGCCACTTAGCGCTGAGGGACTAGCAAGGGATGTGGTCAGGTATGAGTTGATGAGAGTAGCTTGGAGGCAACTATAGGAAGCTGAGGGGTCTAGAGTCCTGCTCAGAGAAGCCCGCCCTAGTAAAGAGCCATAAAGAGCCTGAGTACCCAGCTCCCTTCTGGGTTCACCCAGATAAGCCCCTTGGCAGGTCTTCAGCCTCCATCTTTCTGATCCCTGTCCATCCCCTCTGTACACAATTCAGATTCCCTCTGTCCTCTTCCCTCATGAGGGAGGATGCTGGGAGCTTGTGGTCCCCTCTTGTTAAGTGTCCCATCCTCTCAGACTTGCTTTGTCTGGTCTCACTCTGTTGCTTCAGACTTTGCCTCACACCAGTTCCCATAGGATGGACCTCATTGCTCATGTACCCACTTAGGATGTGTAGCTCTCAGCACTCTACCTAGTACATAATGAACACTTCATTGTTGAATGAATGAATAAAATAAAAAGTATAAATGAAATCAAAATTTGAGAACTGCCAGAGGCATTTTACTTCCTAGTGTTTTCCACTTGGGATGTATTGCAGTGCACGACTCAGTCTGTCCTGGGAAATGATGACCCCTGACCCCAATACCTGGAAGTCTTTGTCCTTTCTGTGAATATAGGACATAAGAGCTCTTTTGCTTCCTGTTTATTTCAGATTATATAATTAGGACTGGCAGTGAACAGGTCTATGAGGACATGGACATTCTAAAATCAGAATCCCCGAGGAAGATGGTCAGAATCCCGCCCCAGGATTTTACTCAGAGTCCTGGCTTTGGAGACATTTCTGATGTTGAGTTCTGGTCAGAGAGTCATCTGAGCAGTCCTGGGGTAAGAGTGATGGACTCTGTCTTCCAGAAAAACTGTTTGAATGAGCAGACAGTGGCTCACAAGACCCTAACCAAGGACAGTGTCCAAGGACATAAGGAGCTGGGGGGCAGTGGCCTGGATTGCCAGTCTGAAAAAACTCAGAGAGAGAGTACAGAAGGGACTCTCCAGAGATGTGAGGTTTGTGGCAAAGATTTCAAGTCCACTTCAGACATCACTCTGCATTGGGAAATTAATACCCAAAAGAAACCTAACAGATGTCATGAATGCCAAAAAAATTTACCTGACTGCTTGAATCCAAGTAACTGCCATGGGGAAAAGCCATATGAATGTCTGGAGTGTGGGAAAGTTTTCAGGCTATGCTCACAGCTTAATCAGCATCAGAGAATCCACACTGGAGAGAAGCCATTTAAATGCATTGAGTGTGGAAAAGCCTTCCGCCTGAGCTCAAAACTTATTCAGCATCAAAGAATTCATACTGGAGAGAAGCCATACAGATGTGAGGAGTGTGGGAAAGCTTTTGGTCAGAGCTCAAGCCTCATCCACCATCAGAGAATCCATACAGGAGAGAGGCCCTATGGTTGTCGAGAGTGTGGGAAAGCTTTCAGTCAGCAGTCACAGCTGGTCAGACACCAGAGAACTCACACTGGAGAGAGGCCTTACTCATGCAAGGAGTGTGGGAAGGCCTTCAGCCAGAGTTCAACTCTTGTTCAGCATCAGAGGATGCATGCTGGGGAGAAATCTCAAATCCCCCGAGTCTCCGATAGCTCAAGCCTTGTTGCACATCAGAGAATTCATGCTGTAGAGAAACCGTTTAAGTGTGATGAGTGTGGGAAAGCTTTTAGGTGGATCTCTCGTCTTAGTCAGCATCAGCTGATTCACACTGGGGAGAAACCTTATAAATGCAACAAGTGTACAAAAGCCTTTGGGTGTAGCTCACGGCTTATTCGCCATCAGAGAACTCACACTGGAGAAAAACCATTTAAATGTGATGAGTGTGGAAAAGGCTTTGTTCAGGGCTCACACCTTATTCAGCATCAGCGAATCCATACTGGAGAGAAGCCTTATGTATGTAATGACTGTGGAAAAGCCTTTAGCCAGAGCTCCAGCCTTATTTACCATCAGAGAATTCATAAGGGAGAAAAGCCCTATGAATGCCTCCAGTGTGGAAAAGCCTTTAGTATGAGCACACAACTTACAATACACCAAAGGGTGCACACCGGGGAGAGGCCCTACAAATGTAACGAATGTGGGAAAGCCTTCAGCCAAAACTCCACTCTTTTCCAACACCAGATAATTCATGCAGGTGTGAAGCCCTATGAGTGTAGTGAATGTGGAAAAGCCTTCAGTCGGAGCTCATATCTTATTGAACACCAGCGTATACACACTAGAGCTCAGTGGTATTACGAATATGGGAATACTCTGGAAGGTTCCAACTTTGTGAACCGGAAAAAAGTTAATACTGTAAAGAAACTGCATCAATGTGATGACTGTGAGAAAATATTCAGGTGGCGCTCACATCTAATTATACATCAGAGAATTCACACCGGAGAGAAGCCTTATAAATGTAATGACTGTGGCAAAGCTTTTAATCGGAGCTCAAGGCTTACTCAGCATCAGAAAATCCACATGGGATAGACCATTTACCTGTATAAATGTGAATAAACGTCTAGCCTTAACTTATTTTATATGTGGTCATTTATACTGACAAAAATTTAGAATACTGGGTGGGAACAATTCAGAATTCCTCTCTTAAGAGAATCCAGGCTGGGCTCAGTGGCTCACGCCTGTAATCCTAGCACTCTGGGAGGCTGAGGTGGCGGATTGGTCGAGGTCGGGAGTTCGAAACCAGCCAGAGCAAGAGTGAGACCCCATCTCTGCTATAAAATAGAAAGAAATTAATTGGCCAACTAACATATATATAGAAAAAATTAGCCGGGCATAGTGGCACATGCCTGTAGCCCCAGCTACTCAGGAGGCTGAGGCAGCAGGATTGCTTGAGCCCAGGAGTTTGAGGTTGCTGTGAGCTAGGCTGATGCCACAGCATTCACTCTAGCCTGGGCAACAAAGTTAGACTCTGTCTCAAAAAAAAAAAAGAAAGTATCCAACTTCATGCAAAATATGTTTATTTGCTGACCTTAACCTGTTCAATAAAGCCTGTGTCCCTTGCACTCGGTGCAATGTGCAGAGTTTTTAGTTCTCAGAGGGGAAACCCCAGGTCCCTGTGGATAAGGAAGAGGCACAAGGAAGGCCCTATGAGCTCTGTCAGGCTAAGTTAAAAAAAGTTACCCAAAATGTTTTCCCTTAAGGGTCTGCTGCTCATATTGTCTTCAACAATAAGGAGATGTATGAGCTTAGGTTAGAGGAAGACCAAAAAAGAATGCCTAGAATTCCCTTCTAACTTCTTCACCTAGGTACTTTTCTTAAAACTCATCAACCAGGGCCAAAGGGTCCCAGACCCATCCTCTTCAGAGAAGTAGGCCAGGCAAGCAAATACATGCCATCATTGTTGGTATGGTTGGTGTTCCTTGTGCACAGATCAGTGCTAGGCACAGAAATCCTGGTGTCATGGCAAGGATTTTGAAGTCATACCTAGGGTTTGCTATGTTGCTCAAGGGCACCACTGCCCTTACTGGAACTCAAAGCCTATTCGCTTATTTGAAAATACACACTGTTACATGGTAGTGATAAGAATTAAACAATATACAGGAATGCATCTTAAGTGTGCCTGGCAGAGAATGATCACTTAAATTAATGCAAGGACCCCCTAGTCTGCGCCAGCATCTCCAGCCACACTGTAGCACAGGGACGCCAGACCTTCAGGCTGGATGGCTGTCTTACTGGTCCAGTCACCCCACTACACAGAGGAAGCCACCCAGAGAGGTGTGGATTGTTTATGCTTTATAACATATTTCCCCAAAATTCTTAAGTCTAAAACACAAACTGCCAAGAACTATGAGGGTCTAAGATTTTATCCTTTCTACAGCCTAACAAGTCACTAACAGTGGTGGTCAGGGCCACATCCACTCCCCTCACCTGCCACGTCCCACTGGGCAGTGCAGAGAGCCCTAGTGGGTACATTCACAAAGTGTGTGTCACTGGAGAAACTCGTAGGTTGTAAGCCTGTTTTGTTGGGAGCTCAGGGCCACTGCCTCTTCCCTCAAGTTTTCTGCTGCCAACATAGCCTTGAGAAACTGCCTAGGTGAAGCATGGTAAGGCCTTCATTTTGCATACAGTAAGAACATGTAGGGAAGCCTAGATGATAGCAGATCACTTCTGTCAGTGATCTGGCTCAAGGCCTAATGCTTTGTTGGCTGAAATTGAATTCTGACACAAATCGCCACTCCAGTCATACCCTTAACCTGAGAGCAGCTGGGACTACATCCATTTTATCCTCTCAGAGCATCTAATTAATGCTACTATCCACAGCCCCATGCAGCAGCAAGAGGCCAAAGGCAGTGCTGACCTCAGTCCTGCCCCAAAGTCCTGGTCATTCAGCTGTCAGCCAGTTGCAAGGGGAATGGTGGGCCTTATTTCAAACAGTCTGCTGCCTGTTAGGACTCATTGAAGACCTGCTGATCTTTGGTGTCTGCCAATAATTTCAGAGAAATATTTGGCCCCAAAGACCCCATTCTCCCATATACAAATGTGTAGCCCAGAGAGACACAGGTCATGTTGCTAGGTTAAATGCCATGGTAGGGCCACTGAGAAGCCATGGCCTCAGTCACTATGCATGGCATTACCCAAGAGCAACTTATAGATTTGTATCAGATTGAAACAGGTTATGCTGGGCCAAGTGTTTTCAGGTTTGGGGGCTTTTGGTGGTGACAGGGGGCACAGCAGAGCCCAGGATAGTTGTGTCCACATGAGTTTCTGTCTTTACAGCCTGTGGATGGGCGTCTGAGTGATCACCAGCCACTACTGCTGAGTTTGGGCATGCCATGAACTGTGTGCCCAGACTGCAGTGTTGGTCCCAGGGGTAAAATTCTAATCGTTGTCCCCTCACCTACACCTCCGCCATTGGGGGCTGCTCCCAGTGTGCCAGGATGGTGGCTCTCCATGGGCAGAAAGTCAGCATCCACTTCAGTTGCTGTGACTTTGCCCCTTTCCTAGCTGCCTTTTGCTTGCACATTGTGGAACACATACATGATGTCCCTGCCTTGGCTACTACCATGGGTCTTGTGCTCAGGTCATGTGCTCAGGTCATCTTCACATCTAACATGGGATTTGGCAGACTTTTTCAGTAATGAGCTGTAAGAGTTTAAGGCTTTGTGGGCCACCCAGTAATGGGACAAGAGTCAAGGTACCCAGTGAACTTGACACAGTCCCCACTACCTGCAACACCAGGTACTGGCCTTTCCAAAATGCTACTCATTAAAAGTCTGACTCTGCCTCCCTGGCCTCATCTCAGTCCTTTGTGAGACAACTTCCTGATTCATGATCAGTACAAAAGTAGTAGAAGGGTATTTGGGAAGTTCTGAAAATCCCAGATTGTGCCCTGAGCATAATGCTGCTTTCTTTCCCTTAAGATCAGGTGGCCAGTGGAAACAACCCAAGTGCCTATCAATTCATGAGTGGATTGATAAAATGTGGGATATGTATGTATACCATGGAGTACTATTCAGCTCTAAGAAACAACGGTGATATAGCACATCTTGTATTTTCCTGGATAGAGCTGGAACCCATACTACTAAGTGAAGTATCCCAAGAATGGAAAAACAAGCACCACATATACTCACCAGCAAACTGGTATTAACTGAGCAGCACCTAAGTGGACACATAGGAACTACATTAATGGGGTACTGGGCGGGTGGGAGGGGAAAGGGGTGGGTTTATACATACATAATGAGTGAGATGTGCACCGTCTAGGGGATGGTCACACTTGAAGCTCAGACTTGTGGGGGGTGGGAGGGCAAGGGCATTATTTGAAACCTTAAAATTTGTACCCCCATAATATGCTGAAAAAAAAAAAAAAAAGGCCAGGTAGCTAAAAAGGGGTAGGAGATTCAAACTTCATTCTGCTTCAGCACCTGGATTCTCTCTTTGGACTGACATTGTCTCTGGAGGCTAAGTCAGCTCCATCTGGAATGCTTGTTCACCATGTTGACTTCTGATTAATCCCTGTTCCAGGAATGCCTCTAAAATTTCTACTTATCTACTCTTACTATAAATCCTGCCTCTAAACAATCCTGACCATAATCCTGCCCTTGGGCAGACTCACGTTGCATTATTGCCTTTCCCTGGGAGACTGACTTCAATTGTCACACATAACCCCTCCTATGGGTGTTAAGTCCTGGCTCTGGGTAGGTGGCAGTGTGGATCCACCATCTCACGGAGGCCCCTGACATGGCCTCTGTCCATAAGTCCCTATTAAATGTTTCTTTCTAAGAAACTGGATAAGCCAACCACGTTCTTCAGCTTTTCAGCTTCCTCAGACTTAGGGGTAGGTTTGTGTAGACCTGTCCATGGAGGAACACGGTCCTAGATCAAAGTCAGGCAAACTTGGGCTTTGCTGCCCACTTTCTATGGTCTAAGAGCTAAGAGTGGTTTTTACATTTCTAAATGGTAGAGAAGGATTTTTAAGGTAGGATGGTGAAACACCAAGGAAGAGTCAGACCTAGGGTTTTCAAGCTGTGAGACTTTGGACAAATCCCTCCTTGTCTCTGGATTTTAACTCCTTATGGGTAAATTAAAGGGGTTGGATATGACAATCTCTAATGTCCTTTCCAACTCTAAAAGGCAAAAACTTCCTTTAAATAAGTGTTCCCCAAACTGTTCCAAGAATACAGTTAGTAGGCCAGACACGAAGACTCATGCCTATCCCACCACTTTGGGAGGCTAAGGAGGGAGGATCATTTGAGCCCAGGGGTTCGATACCAGCATGGGCAACACAGCAAGACCTCATCTCTACAAAAAGTTTTAAAAATTAGCCAGGTGTGGTGGTGCACACCTGTAGTCCCAGCTACTCAGGAGGCTGGGGCAGGAGGATCACGTGAGCCCAAGAACTTGAGGTTGTAGTGAGCTATGATCATGCCACTGCATTGCAGCCTGGCAACTGAGCAAGAACCTGTCATTCATTCGTACATATAAATAAATAAACAAAAGAAGACTATTTTGTGACATTTGAAAATTACATTAAAATCTAATTTCAGTGGGCAAAGTGTCTCTGGGACCCGGCCATGCCCACTGTCTTTCTACAGCAGAAACGTGTGTCACACTAGCTGACTCCCTGCTGTGGCCTGGGCTCTCCGTCCAGGGATTTGGGAACAGCATATTTAAAGGAGAAGACTATATGAAAAGAAAGGAGATGGGAGGGTTAGGCAGCATGGCAAATGATTACATACTTGTGAAGCTCTAATTAGTGCTCAGTAAATCTATATTTTACATAAGTCAAGTTGGACATTCAAAAAAGGAATGTGGAAAAGTTGATTATGTTGTCTGCTTCACAGCAGGCAGAGGAGTGGCCAATCTCATCTGTTCTTGATTCACATCTGTGGAGAAACTGGCAATTGACATTGTCAGTGTGAAACTTAACAGAATTCAGGTCCAAGGATTTATTTGTGTTGTAACTCCAAGTTTATAATTGGCACGTGCATGTTCTGTAGGGGCCATATACCCTAAAAAATTTAGGACTAACTAGGCAACTCCCTGTACTCAATCTGTGAAGAGCAATCTGGAAAGGCAAGGG